GGGGGGGGGGGGGGGGGAGGACCTATAAAAAGTGTTAAATAAACAATTAGGTATTATTATTGGAAGTCTCCTGAAAGTTTACGACATACTACGATAAGCAGTGGCGGATCCAGCGGGGGGTTTTAGGGGTTAAACTACGTGTCAATCAGTGCGGACCCACGGGGGGTGTTTTAATACATACACGCCATATTATACATACATATGCGCTATATCAAAACACCCGCCGTGGGTCCGCCACTGACTGACACGTAGTTTAACCCCCAAAACCCCCCGCTGGATCCACCCCTGACGATACGACACTTACGACACCGTTGTGAATACCCCAATTGATTTTATAGAATTTTATACCATTTCTACGAAAATTTACTTTTTCCATATAAATAAAATACATGGAAAACTTTGACCGCTTTGAGCTCCCCTAAAATTTTTTGATAAAAAAAATCAGGTGCATTTTTTCGGTATGGGACAATCCTAGAGGTGAGAGCAGTAAAATTCCGTCTTTACTTATTTTGGATAACCCTAATGTACAAACTTACTATGTACATAGTTACAATAGGAACATAAATTTTGCTCGAATTTCGCATTTGAACGACCGCAAATGTTGTAGAAACGTTTCCACGCGTATTTTTGTTTATGGAGGTCAACTTCTTTTTGCCATTTGCTTAGACGCGTTGCGAAATTTATAGCAATTACATGCATTCTTTGCATTGACGCTACAAAAAAAATTAAAAAAACTAAACACAAAAGTAAATACAAAATTTATAAATTTAATACCACAACAATTTAATTTGTGTGGCCAACTGCTTCTGGGTAATTAGATTGAAAAGATTGTGAAGTCGTCGCGTACATTCGAAATATTTATTTGCTCTTTGTTTTATTACGAAATTCGTTGCTTGTGTGCAATTACTAGTTCGTTTATAAGCTTACTTAGCTATACAAACATTTGTATAATACAGTAAAACCTCGTTACAACGAAATTGAAGGGGTTGGACAAATGTTTCGTACTATTTATACATAGAATATCAAAACTTCGAGACAATGAAAAATGTAAAATTTTGTTGAGGTGGTCCCTTAAGTGTGATCCCATACTAATTTGGTTTAGTTCCGTTCATTGGATTATGAAGAAAGTAATGACACTCCTAATTTTTTCTATGAGAATTGAATTTGATTGTTTTTTTTGCTTAAAAATTTCTTGTTTTCACCTCTAACTGTGAAAATATTCAGGGTTGGTTCTTCAGAGTGCTTTTGCTAACGAAATTTTAACCATCAATGTATTCCGAAGGTTTTCATACTCAAAATTTCTTCGTTATCTCTATGGAGCATTTTTTGATGGAAAATTTCGCTACAACGAGGTTTTTTTTAGGCGCCTCTGCAAAATTTTCACATTTTTATTTTTATTTTTTTTAACAAGGCTCGTTATATCGAGGTTTCACTGTACATAATATATTTAATACACATAGTAAATTATGTATGTTTGTATTCATGCATAACAAATATATACAATGGACATCCATATGACATTTTTTTTTTGGATTGTTATTGGTTTAATCAATGAAGACAATTTTTTTTATTTTTTTTATTCTTTAATAAGGACATAGAGTACATATTATGTGATGGTGTGTATGATTGTATTTTTTCAGCTATATGTATATACAAATTTAATGCTCTCGTATTACATTAAATGACATTTCTAAGTTTTTAATTGACAGTGGTGGTTGTCGAAAATATCCAGCTTTTTAATGAGTATATAATAATTTAGAATAAACGCTATATGAGGCACGTAGCGATATTCAGATATGAGTATACTATTCTACTATCATAACATTTTCCTACAAATATTTATCAAATCGCCCCACTTGCAACAAAATAAACAAAACAAGCATAAGGAAATTTGGTTTGGTAAAAATTGCATTTCGAATGCATTAAAAAATTTCAAATTAACAAAAGTCTTTTCGATTATGAAAGTATATTTACATACATATGTACAAGTGTATGTTTGTATTAAAAATTCTCCCTTTTTTTGTAGAAAAGAACATAAAATATATGTACATATACATATGTATGTACATTAGGGTGGTGCAATTTTTTTCCAGCCACCCGCAGAATTGATGGATATCGAAAAAATTTTTATCCGTGTGGCAGGGACTTTTTCGATATGAAAATTAAAATGGAGAAAATACCTGTTTTCGTAGAATTGCTAAAAAATCGTTAAAAACAAATATTTTTCATCGTAAAAGATTATTTCCCCTCAGAGAAATTAAAAACATAATATTATGAAAATATTTAATTTAAAAATTTTACAAGCGAAAGCTTTTTCTTTTATGTATTCGGAAGTACATATGCATCATAAATTACCTTTTTTTTAATTTCTAAAGAGAAATATTTCTGTTCCATCAAAAGCTATTTATTTTTGAGGACTTTATAGTTTAGCTACGAAAAAATATATTTTTCCCATGTAAAATACATGTATGTAGATATGTAAAATATCAAAGACCCGTCGGCACCGCTGTAAAGAAAAATGGGTCCGATTATTTTCGATATTTTTCATTTCTGGGGCTGGCAGCGGAAAAATTTCAATAATGATTTTCCTGTTTATTTTTGGATTGCCCTAATGTACACACTGGTGATGTTCTCAAGTTACTAAGTAAGTAGATTAATTCTAAGATAAGCACATACATAGTAAAACTACTGTTACATATATATTTCGAAACATCAGTCGCTTTTTAAAGCTTAAAAACTGGACGCCTAAGTGTATGCTAAGCTCCATGCAGATTTGTAAAAAAATCCTTATTTTTTTATAGCAAATACTTTATGCACCTAAATATGTATTGTACATAATTCATACTTAAAGGCTGCTCTGCTCATTATTGCTTCAAATCTGCTAACAAAATTTTTACACACTCCAGACACAGTTCCGTTGGGACTCCAGTGCTTCGCAACATTCATACGCTCAAGCTCACATTCTTCCGTTCTCTGCTAATCATTCATATGCGTTTCGTTGCGTCCTCTGACGGCGGCCGTACCCAACCACCATAGCGCCGCTCCATTTCACGCGCCACTGCTAGGCAGAGATGATCTTGTCCTGGATTCGCGACCACCTGTATGCCCATTGGCAGATTGCGTCTATCCAAACCGATCATACAATTGGTGACCGGCAGTCCGAGCGTATTGAATATCGCCATATACATGGGCTCCAATAGCTTGTGATAGATTTGATAGTGCCGATGCGCCGTATTCGGGAATGTTGGATAGATAAAGACGCCATCGTTGCCGAGCAGCTCTTTGAATTCAGTCTTGAGCGCTTCAATGATTGTGGCCAAGTGCTTGTGGCGTGAATTCGGTATGATTTTCATGAAATTCTGCAGATGTCCGAATATCACCGACGGCAGGATGCTATCCGAGCAACCGAAGAAATATTTAACGGTCTCTGTGCAAACGGTTTTCGGGCGTTCGCCTTCCTCAGTTTTGTAGTAGATGGTCTCGATGTTCTTCATGGTCAACATTGCGGAGAGTGAAATGTCGAGTGAAAGTTTCATTTTTCGTATATTTACGCGCTTTGCATTGAAATCGGTGGCCACGCGATTGATGGCGGCATGTAGATCGCGACTCAGCGGCCGCATCATGCCCGACGGACCATCGTTGTCCATGAAGAAGAAACGTATGCTCTGTATGCTCAACTCCCGTTCGAGTGTTAGCTTGGGACCGGTTGGGTCCAACATACATTTCAGTAGCAACGGCAAATCCTTGGCGTAACGTGTCATCGGCGCAATGGTGAAGAAGTCTCCCCACTTGGGATAATCACTGGTCGGATGGTGGCCTTTGAACGAGACCGAGTAGGGGGTTGGTTTGTGACCCCATATGCCGCTGAACATGGCTGGCAGTCGTGAGGATCCACCGATGTCGGAGGTGAGACCCAACAACGAAGCACCGCTGGCCAATAAAGCGGCTTCACCACCCGAAGAACCACCTGGCGTGCGCTTTAAATCGTAGGGATTCTTTGTCTGGCCAGTTACATTGTTGTAGGTCTCCCAGAGTAAGCAAAGTTCTGGTGTATTAGATACTAGCAATACTATGCCACCACAACGTTTGATCTGTTCCACCACCGGTGCATCGGATTTGGCAATTTGTGGCGTCTTGAAGACACGTCCCGCCTGATTGGTTAAACCTTTCACAGCAATGCTCTCTTTAACTGTCACTGGAATGCCCAATAGTGGCGTATTGTCCTCCATCTCCTCGATGGTGTTGATGCCAGAGGCGATAATGCGATCAGTTTCGCGCGCCTCTTCCAGCGCCTCTTCAAAGCGATCCTGTACAATGGCATTAATCAACGGATTCACCTGCTTACACCGCTCGATGTACGCTTCGACCACTTCTTCGCTTTTAACCTGCGGAAGAGAAACAAATAAAGAAATAAATTTTTTATTACAGATATTTATTTTTAGTATTCAAATGGTCAGTGATCAATAAAACTGTTAAAACTGTGGAAACATCTGTGGTCGCCAACAGCACCAACAAATATACACAGATACATATGTACATGTGTATGTAAATAAAGTGTTTTTCCAGTTCTCAAAGCAAGATATATGAGATTTGCCAGTCAACGGTTTGAATGACTAAAATTTGTTTTGCATTTTTTTGTACAAATACACAGGCGCACAGATATACAGATTCACACAATCAATTGAATGTCGTTATCTGGTAGAAATTTGCATAATTGCCAGTTAATGGTAGTCAAAAATTACATTGTTACAAACGCTCGGCTCTGCTCTCCCCTGTGACACTTCACCGACGGCCTTGTAGCCCTTCGGATGTCAATGGACTACGTATGTACGTAGTTGTTCGGTATCGCCAATGAGGCTTGGTGCAGCAGTTAACTATGAGATATGAGAAAGCTTGTGCGGGGTATGAACTTTTTGCCTTTAGTTAATTGTCTATTATTCATTTTAATGATATTATTTATTACGCTATTACATTATGACCCATAATTAAAACTGACACTAACACTTTACTAATGGAACTTTTGAAGGCGGCGCGCACACGCAAATGAAGGTTTTGGCGTAAAATATTTTACGAAACAATGTAAGTCGCTTTGTATTATGGACTTTCATTAAGTTATGTCGAAATTTTCAAGTGTAATCTTAAAATTTCGCTAGAAAGCTATAATTTTCATACTATGTACACTAGAGTGGTCCAAAAAAAAATCCGAAATAGGGCTTGGGGCACCTACCAAAATTTTGCCGCTTGTAGAAAAAGGTGCTGGTACCAAACTTTACGTTTGTAAGTATTAATTTAGAGAATGCTCATGATGCTTATATTTTACTCTAGAAGTTTTGAGTGCCTAACTAAGGGGGTGCCCCGTTTTCAAGGATGAAATTTTTTCCCCCATATAAAAATTGGACTACTCTAATGTGCACATGCACATATTATTGGAATCTCCTGAAGAGAAACAGAGTTTTCCGATCAGAAAGGATTGCTTTGCAAAAATTCTATGCCATTTCCAGAAAAAATAGTTTTGTCAATATAAAATACATGGAAACTTTAAGCGCAAAGCGACCTCTAAAAATTTTTTGATTTCGAAAAAAAAAAACAAAGCATGTGTTGTTTTCGATATAGGCAATCCTAGCGGGGAGGGGGAGGGGGGTTAGAGCATTAAAATTCGGACCATTCTTGTTTAACAAACATTTTTGAACCACCCTTATTTACATATGTACGTGCATATACTCACATGCACATAATTATCTTCACATATACAATGGATGCATATGTGTGCGTTTAAACAAAATTATATACACTAGTAGTTGCCCATTTTTCTTCGGCTTAGAAGAAACTGCCTACAAAAACATTATGCTTGAATAATTTTCTCTTGAATGGTTTCGGTCTAAAAACTTCTGAAATGCTCACAGTACATGAAACTACATATACATACATATATGTGCCTGCATAAATATGTGTATGTTGAATCAGTAAGATCACAGAGAAGGAAAAGCTGTTTTCATCTCATCATGTTTTTTAGTCTATAGCATTTTTGTATGAAACACAATATCCGTTAAACGCCCACCACGATAACACAGGATGCGCATATCAAAATTTTCCATGACGTTATGATATAGTCAAAGAACGTAGATAACAAGAAGGGACAACTCGTTATAATTGTAGCGCAAGTGAGCAACAGGGGCGTGCCTTCTCTTTTGCTCTAGAACGTTTTTTAATTGAATGAAAGGAGAAGGCACGCCCCTGGTACTCACTTTTGCTACAATTAGTTGCATTCCCCAACTCGCAAGAAGTTGCAAGAGTTTGCAGGAATTTACCAGAAAGTATTCGCTTACTCGGTTCTCTGGCTTCTTATGCCTTTTGACAGTTTTACAGGTTTTAACCCAGAAAAGTTGGGGAACGCAACTATTATAACGAATTGTCTCTTCTTGTTATCTACGCTCTTTGGTATAGTTCGGTCTGTATATCATTTATAATGCATATGTTTTTATCCTTCAACTCTGGAATCGTCCGAGTTTATTGGCATGGACGATGCTTTTTACGTAGCCCCAGATAATGGAATTCAATTGTGTTAAAAACATAAAATTTCGGCGGCCATTTGATCGCGTTGCTTCTTGAGATAATGTGACCCGAGAGCTTCGTTCGCAAAATGGCCATTGTTTAATGCGCTGTGTGACAAGTGGCACTGTCCTGTTGAAACCACATATTGTCCAAGGCCATTAAAAGTTTACAGATGAATCGTGTTCTCTTGAATGACATGTGGATTTCCAGTACCCCGAATGCGGTTGTTTTGCTTGTCACCGTATCCGTTTAGGTGAAAATGTGTCTCATTGCTCATGCATAAAAGTTTTTTATGGATATTATGTATAAGCCTATAGTAATTGAAATCGGGTCTCACAGCTGTGAGGTGCTTCTGGGAAACATCTGATTCTTTTTTCACTTATAAGAATGCATAATGGTCGCGACCTCCTCCACACTTTTAGCGCCGTCAGATTGGGAACTTGTACGCCAATACCGGAAAAGTATGTGTTGCGTTGATACGCAATAGACGTACGCAAGGTACCCATTTATTCCACACCAGCAAGATTTTCGGCCGAACGACCGCACAGGAACGGATGTTGTCTCGTTTTGCACAGACCCAATGCCCAAAATGCACTTTTTTCAGAACGACCATTTCCATAAAGCGTTTTGATCACTTTTACGCATTGTTTAACATCCATATGCCGTTCGGAGACGGTGTCAAACTGTAGATCCTCAATTTGTGCAACAACATCAACACCCCACAAATTGGAGGAGAAGCTCGGCGAAACACTAAGCAAAAGTGTAAGCGCCAAAATATTATTATTATATTGACTATCATGGAATCAAACCATTTTGGTAGGATCCCAATTTGAATAAAATTCCAATTTTATTGAGCTAGAACAACTGAAAAAATATAGATATTCCATGTAATCAGAATTGTGATTGGAATGGGGCTAGATGCGGTTACTTCACAGGTAAAATTGAAGGTACACAAATCCCCGTTGTTTAAAAATCAACACTCTTTGTTAGCCTTGCGGGTATTTTTTACACATGTGCAAGTAGTGTAATAGTGCTCTTTGCATACATGGAATTACATACTGCACTCTTCTTGTGCATTGTGTACCAACTACATCGTACAACACATCACACATTCGTACACAGAGGTTAAGCAAGGAAGTTAAAAAAAATATATATATATTTAAAAACTACAGTAATTTAAATTTATTGCTTGAAAAAGTATGACAACTAATGTCATAAGTTAAAGTGCTTAAGAGTACATACATTTGCACATATTACATACATATGTACATACATTCATATGCATTGTATATGTATACATACATATATTACAAATTACATTTTCTCTCTTATAGTATGTCCCGCTTGTGCAATATGCACAAGGTTTTTCAACTTATGTGCATATATACATACATACATACATACACACCAAATATATGTTAACCTGTATGGTACGTTCCACTTGCCAAAACAATATGAGTAAGATTGGTAATAAAAAGGAATATTTGCAATATTCATGCAAGTCATAAACTCATAATTTTAGTTGTTTTGAAAAAGCAGTTAAAACTTAACTATTGAGAGTATGCATTCACATACATAAATTAATTCATACATACTAAGTAAAAATAAAGAAAAATCAAGTAGACAACTCTAATTTTAGAATATAGAAAACTAAGAAGGAGCACAATAGCAGAATTTGTTCCAACGCGGTCACGTCCCCAAATGCCGGGATTACAGCTGCGCTCTCCCGAGATGTTTACTGATTTATTTACAGTGAGTAAGTGATGTTGAAACATAAAAAATGAGAAATACAGAACACCAAAATATGAACCAAAAAGTGAACTTGAATCCTTTTCAATCGGAAGTGAATTTCAGAACCTGCCGAAATAACTGTACTTGTTCAAATATTTTGTTCCAGAACTCTGTAAAATTGAAAAATCTTGTAGCAATTTAAACACACAAGAGGTGTGGTAGAGTTGTTCTTCATTTAAATTTTTAAATTCACTACTCCTATACTTAAATAATAAAGACAACGGTCATAAAAATTTCTGTAATTCTTTTGACACAATTTTAAGCTTATGAGACCGAAAATACTGTTAAAACAAATTTTAAGATTAAAAAATATTTGTCCAGAGAATTTATTACAACGTATATAAATTTTTTTTTTCAGACTTTCTAGTTTTGTAGCCCATTAAATTTTAGTATAATAAAGTGCAAGTTCGAAGTAACTAGGACTTACCGTTGATAGAGAAATTTTTGTCACGCATTTTATTAAAAAAAAAAAAATTGAAAATATTTTGCATGGAAAATATGCGAAACACCTTCAACAGAAAAAAAGAAAATCTTAAAACTCAACGCGATTTTTTAGAAACTAAAAACTTGAATTTTTTATACTAAAACTTAATTAGATACAAAACTGCATACTTAAAAAAAATATATAAAACAAACAAAATCTGATTAAAAAGTTGAAAAGTATATATTTTTTGTTGGTGTATCTTTATAAAAAACTATCGGAAAAAATAAAAATGTTTGCATATGTTGTGAAAATTTCTCTAGGCAAATACTTTTGGACCGTAGCGAAAACTAAAAAAAAAATGAATCACGTTTTGGATTCCCAATTCTGATTTTATGAAGTTTTGAAATTAACCACCGCGTGCATCCGTTATTTAAAATTTTTTAAAACTGATTTCTTTTTTTTAATTAGCGGCTCAAGAACTCTTCGATATCAGACTACATAAAAATCTGCCAACATTTTTTTAACTAACCCGCCATATTTTATTCGATATTTTAAAATTAGTGATTTTGCAGCTTTCGTAAAACATCTCTTTCATCTTGATACCCAAATTAAAATATT